TTGTTCATCCTCTGCAGCAGCCGTCCGTGGAGTACAGCATCGAATGCACCCTGAACGTCCAAAGTGACTAGGACTGCTTTCTTCTGCCGTTTCATTGCATGTTCTACATCGTGGATGACGCATGAGACGAGGTCGTTGGCAGACCTGCCAGTGAGTGCTCCAAAGGGTTGCTGCGGGACTGCCTTGTAGGTGAGGGCGGTGTAAGCCATTCGCCTTGCAATCAGTCTCTCGAGACCTTTACCCAGGGAGGAGAGAAGTGCGATAGGCCTCCATCCTTTAGCTGTACTGAGGTTACGGCCGGGTTTGGGGAGAAGGATTACTTCCGCTAGCTTGAAGGCCTTCGGAAAGTGATTCAATCGCAGTGAGCCCTCAAAGAGTACTCTCACTGCGTGACCAATTGATGGCCAGGCTGTCCTAAGAAGACGAACAGAAATCGCGTCTGCTCCAGGGGCTTTATTTTGGCAGGCCATTGTAACCCACTTAGCTTCCTCGTCCGTAACGCTCGAGACCCACGGGAGGTTTCCGCGTCCTGGCTCGAAGTCCTCAGCGTCGACGTCGTTCTGACTGGTGAACCGGCCGAGAAGGAGGTCGCGCAACAGAGTTGCTCGCTTTCCTGGATCCGAAACAAGACTATCTGGAGTTTGGAGTGGTGGAGCAGCTGATGTAGGTTGCGGCTTAGCCCAGCGTGCCATCCGATACATGTCGACGTCGGTTGTTGCTTCGGAGAACTTTCGCCGCCAGTATTGGCGTTTGGCACTTTTGACTATGCGACGGAAATCCTTTCTGCTCTCTTCGTCCCTGAATATCCTGTATTCACGTTTGGCCTGTAGGCACTCTGACGTCCACCAAGGTGCCGTCCTACCCTTCTTAGCACTCCCGCGTCTACCAGTGGCCCTGATTGCGTTGCTGATAGTTTGGACCAGCTTATCAGCAAGATTGTCCACCACGTCTACTGAAACCATCGGCTGTAGCTCTATTCCTTGAGCCCAACGACCTAGCACCTTTGCAAAGTCTTCGAGGGCGTCATCTGTCACTGGAAACGGTTGGCCTGTTTTGATAACAGCTCTAGCTTTCGAGTTCGGACGGGGGACGTCTCCTGCAAGAGTTCTGTGGTCCGATGTCGAGTCAAGCTCTATCGAGACGTCTGCAAGGGCTCCCGCGTTAGACCAAACTAGGTCGAGTGTGTTTCCAAGATCGTGAGTCGAGACGCCCGGGGTCGAAGATAGGTCCATGCCGTGCTCGGACATCCATTTGGCGAGCACTTGGGCGTCACCGTGTAGCCTGGTGGCCATGGGCTGCCAGTCAGGGTGGACGGCATTGAAATCTCCGCCAACTACTGTGGGCCCAGACGGGGCCCATGATAGGAGCGGCGAAAGGTCTGCTCCAGGAGCACGATACACAGAGACAAACGTGACTCCTTCTACCTTTACAGCAGTGGGATCTGGTGATGTCTCGCAGATTGCTAGTTGTAGGCACTTGGTCCCTTTCCGCGTATAAATGAGGGAGCGTGGCCTTGCGGGGTTGGCTGTGACATGGGGGGGCAAGTGCTTGTCGAACCCGGGATGCGACTTGGTGAGCCAGAAGCCGTCCTTGTGTTGAGTCCAGGGTTCCTGGATGAGTAGGACATCAATTCCTGAATCCCAGGCGGATTGCAGGATGATGTCTGTAGCGGGGTCTCCTCTGCCCAAATTTGCGCAGAGGAACAAGATCGTTGTTGCCGTTGTGTGTAGCTCGGTAAGGTTGTGGTCCCTTACGGGCATTGAGCAACGTTTGTAGTTTCGTTTTCAGCAGTCGCTTCAGCGGCTTTCTGCTTTGCTTCCAACTCTCGGATCGAAGCGTTTCTTTCTTTTTGACCTTGTTCCCGGATCACCGATAGCTGGTCTCTTGTGCGTTGCACAGTCTTTCCGCCGGCCCGCGTTGGCCTGGCCATGCAGCTAGGCTCGGTTGCGGCATGTGGCCCATGGCAATTGATGCACCTTGGGACGAGCTGTTTGCACTCAGTAGCCTTGTGCTCAATCGATCCACATCGTGAGCATCGCTCCGCTCGTGAGCAAATCTTTGTTGGGTGATATCCCCAGCATCGGTTGCATTGCGCAATTTTGGCCTTGCGCTGGAGCTCGTGTAGGCGACCAATCTCTTCGAAAAGTCGCTCACCCAGCTTTGACTTGCCGGTTGCAAAATGCAACACCAAGTCGGTGGACGGCCTGGCCATGCTTGTCGCAAAGGCACGAGCCGAGGTCGGTCTAACGCCTGTATTTAAGGTCGCTTCCTCCATTACCATTTTCGATGTTACTGGCGTTGGTCCTTCTAAAGTGAAGAGTCTGTCTGGTACATTAGGCGCCAACACTGAGATCCAGTTGGAAGCAGCTTCCAGTTTCATTTCCGTGCTCTCCAGGAGTACGGCGCCTGAGAGGAGCGCGTTTCTTGCTCCGTCTCCTTCAGCTAGTATCGCAAACCCTGAGTTGACGATGGTAACCTGCTTAATTGCAGAGTTGGCTAAGCGGAGCTTGCTTGCGAGGCTCACTTTGATGTAATGAGGAGACATGCGTCTCCATGGGTGGTCGGGCTTGACCCGCAGGAAAACACGCTCGTCTGGGCGAGCTAACTTGGCAGCTGAAGCAATAGGCCTCGGAGTTTGTGTGGGCCCTGTCGCTTTTGACTTAGGCTCGCTGGCTGATTGCGATTTTGTCGCTGCTGGTGGTGCGGGCTTAGTCTTTTTCCTTACTACCTGAGTCCAAGACCCCTCAGTAACGATGGGGGTTTGTATAGAATCGATGTCGATTGGCCTAGTAGGCTTTGCCTTTCGCCTGGCTGCTTTCTCTCGTGAGTATTTGCACTGGTCGTGAAGTGCCCGCGCTATTCTTTCCTCCCGGCCTAGTAACCGACGCAGGGAGGGTTGTCGTCTTGCTGCTACTGGCAGCCTCTGATGGCCCACTGGGTTGGGGCTCGGGGTTTCCGCGCAGGATGTTTGTGATAATGGCCTGTAAAGCCTCTCCATTCTTTTCGACAGCTCGTCGGAGCTGTTTGTCGGTTGTGGCCGCCAGTAGGTTAATGTACCCACTGACGATACGCTCAGCCTCTGCAAAGCGTATGTTAAACGCCCTCGCTTCATCTGCGAGGAAGTTAGTCAAGGAAGCACCCATTGACTCGGGGGGATTTGGGGGCGAGTATTGGCAGCTCGCCTCGCAGATCGGTTCTGCGTTTGCTTGTGTGTTGTTGTAGTGGTGGTTGGGTGGCCCTGTGAGGACCATTTCGACATCAGGACGAGTCGAATTTACGGGTGGAAGGGGGGGCCAAGAGCCAGCCTCTGCGGAGGACTGGGGCGGCATGGCAAGGAGCAAATCAGAGAAGGTTGAACAGTAAATAATCGCGTGTCTGGCGCGTCGGGGCAACGAAAAGTGTTGTTAATATGGTGGCGGACAGCTCGGGCGCTGCAGACTTGTGGGTATCTGGGGAAATTCACACACTAACTTTCTAGCCTTCTTCCAACCCTTCCCGAAGGTCGTGTTAGAACGTTAGAAAAGTCTTGACAGAGCGTGATTTATGTACAGTATCTTAGCCCAAATTCTATTGAGTCATCCAAGTCTCCGGAGAGTGCCGTTGACTCATCCACGATAGAAGCTCTCCTCGCTAATTTGCCGAAACCGTGATCTTGGCGCCTACAAAAAAAATCATAAGTCGGAATCACCTCGAAAATATAAGACCTATCATTCCCACAAAAGGTCTCTTGCGGTCCTTGACTCCTAGGAGATATAGAGCATAGCTTAGGACCTAAAATTTATAAAAAAAAAAAAAAAAAGTCTCTTGTCTATTTACATGCCCCGGTCGCCTGTCTTATACAAGATGTAAAGCCCCATTAGAGCAACAGTCCCCCATAAACCATAAACCGAGCTTTGTATATCATGGCTTAATTTCCTCCTTGCGGGTATACGTAGAGTCATAAATTTGTAGTGGATGATGGCCAGTAATTAATGAGACAGGCTCCTGTTTACAATTGGAGTAACGCATTTATCGGTCGCTGAGGCGAGGTGATGTATGGTAAGGTTAAGGTAGAAGACTCACATGAGAATGACATGACTGATGTTGGTGAGAAGTCGCCGATTAGAGATGTGTTTGTTTTTGCTTTTGACTTCGTTCGGGTGCGATACTTCTTGAGTATCCCAGATATGCAGAGCATACTGAGCGATCACACCGGCACCACTGGAAGGTGAAGAATTCGTCTTTGACGGCAAGGTTCTGCCTTAAAGGCTGATCTAGACGACTTGTTACTGGGCCGTTCAATTCACGTTCAATGCCACATGTGTATTTTAGTTGGCTTTAAAATCAGTTAAACCGCTGTTTTTGGTAAGTCCTGTAATTTTCTTGTTTTCTTGTCGCATATTTCGGGAAATTACAGCAGCAAGTTGGACTCAGAACAAACTATTCCTGTTCAGGACCTGGATTTAAATTAAAAGTTGCCGCCTCTATGTATCAACAAATGCTAGATGTATCTTCATATCAACCAATCTATAGGTACGGATTGGAATACTTAGTACTTTAATCTTGGTTTGCTATGGGTATGATTCCTCATTTTTAGATATATTTTACGAAATAATGATTCATTTTATAACGATTCTATCACACAATGCCACATCTTCTGTAAAAGCAACTAGACTTTAGTGTTTGTCAATCATTTTGTAGCTATAATTAAGTTCGAGATTTATTGTGATAAATTGACGCCAGAAGATGTAGGCCTCATCATAGGCAGATATCCATAAAGCTCCCCCAAAAAATTCATGCTTAAATTGGCTGATCCCAGATATGTAAAACAATTAAATGAAATTAGTCCCTCCACATAATAACAAACGAAAATATTAATGATCCAAATTCGGCACATGCACCATATCAATGTGTTACATCAAATTTTTACAGCTACTATTTTCACGTACGATGGGGACAACGAGGTTTGTCGAAAGCTTGAAGTGAAATATAACCAGTTCCAAAGAGCTTGTTTCTCAAGATCATGGTAAAAACCATCCTCCCTTTTTGAGTTGGCCTGGAACAAATAGAGCTTCGTGTCGCATTTTAGGATCCGAGAGACCTTGGAGGACAACATCTAAACGTTGAAAATCGATGGGTTTGAGGATCCAACCATCAAGCCTGAGAAGAGTTAGATATGGTTTTGATATAAAATATCATTTATTTAGAATGAGTAAGGTATGGGTACGGGGTAAGAGAGATATCATACCCGCTTTGAATATAATCGAAACGGCTATTTTCGTCCAGCTGAGTAGACATTGCAATGATCGGTACTCGATGTCGTCCACTTTGAGGAGTAGAAGTTCCGCGATGTTTTGCTTCTTTCTCAGCAATACGGATCATGCGGGTAGACAAAACACCATCTACATAAGGCATCTGTCGATATTTAGCTTTGCCGCAAAGAATCTATGGGATATTTTACCTTTAATTCCATGAGTATAACGTCTGTATTAGCGGGATTTAGGGCGAAACGGTCGTGACATTCTTGCCCATCACGAGCGACACTAACTGAGTGTCCCATCTGGGTGAGTTTCTCCTCTAGCATGCGTAGACTATTCAGGTCATCATCTGCCACCAATATGTTGATTTTAGGCTCGACATGGCTGTGACGTTGAGCATCACTCTCTACATGGAATTAGTGATATATTTTTAGTCTAGGATTATGATTACCATTGCTACCGTGGGCCATGGAACTTCTCTCGCTTTTTACTGCCATACTCATTTGAGGACCGGATGATGGACGTGGTGATAGTTCCATAGGTTGGAGATTCGCAGGTGACAGAGGAAAAGCGCTTAGTACAGGCGTTGAAGTCTCACTCCTTGCTTTTCTTTCAGCCAAATCTAGCTTCATTGGCACTATGGGGGGTGGCACGACAGGAGGTCCTTTAGGGGGGCCGGATGGAGGTAGATAGTAACTTCGCGCTTTACGGGATGCTGAACCGTCGGATCCTCTTGCGCATTTGTATGGAAGCTCGACCGTAAAAATGGTACCTTTTCCCAGCTCACTAGTCACCTGAATTTGTCCATTGATTGACCGAACAAATGTTGCAACAACTGAAAGGGTTACACTACTCCTGTTGTTTTCGCTCTGGTTTGGTGAAGAACCCTGACTGGGAAATGGCCATTTTTCATCGCTTTGTGCTCTTTCGAATTCTTGGAAGGTTTCCTTGCAAAGTTAGATAACGAGTAGAGGGTCGTAGAATAACTTACATCTAGTTCTGCCTCCGACATGCCTGGGCCAGCGTCTTGCACTTTTAGTTCAATGTAAGAAGTATCTTCTTGCACACGTAGTAGGACGACGTCTACTTTCAAGCTTTGAGAGTTTCGGAATCCATTGCGAATAAAATATAACATGACCTGTTTGAAACAATCTGCATCTCCGATGACTGTGGTTGGCAATTCATCATGTACAGAGACAGTAAGATCAAGTGCTTTTCGCTGAGCTTCTTTCTTTAATGCTTCAAGAACACGTGTTGCTAATGACACGGGTTAACGATACTATTTACACACGGAAATTAGACGTTAGCTAACCTGCTGCTTTTAGATTGAAGGTATCATCAACGGAAGTAGGAGCGACTTCCGTTTCCTTTTCAGCCTCATTTTCCTTCGAGAAACCCGCTTTAAATCTCCAAGTCTCAGCAAACTTGCCATAGATCAAGGCAAGGATTGATGCCATGTCAACTGAGTACATTATTAGCAATTTTCTTGATTTACTCATATACTTACGCTGATCTTCTGTCCATATTCTACTAGTGTTTGTGACCGTCTCAATAAATCTTTGGAAGCTTTTCCGTGGCTGGAGATAGTCGTCCTTAGATTTAAATATTTTCTCATTGGGGTTGCTGATGGTGTCAGCTTCATTAATTCAGATAATATGATGGAAGTAGCAGTTCTTTTTCATATTGTGATGAAGGCAATTTGGTCACAACTCACCCAGCCCAGTTAACATGTCGTAATTGACATTTTCTGAAGAAAACGAGAAAATCATTTTCCTTCCCTCCGTTTAATGGGATGATTAGTAATCCTGCCAAACTGTTTATTTCCAAGGAATGACTCAGTTCTGGGAAATCGGCTTTGATATTGTCCGAGGAACTGATATGATCAATTTTGCACGTCTGCAGGTAGTTGATAATAGCCGTTGCCTCGTGAAAGGGATCCATTCGACCAATTGCTCTTACTTTTTTACCAATGTTCAATACTGCAAAATCGGAGTCGATGAGAGCTAGAAGATCGCCGGAAGGAGGGTTGGGATTGGATGGTAGGCTGACAGGTAGCTTTCTAGTGCGTATACGTTCCAAGGTAAGCAATCGCTGGATGTTAATTGCGGCACATTCTCCCTGTAGACAGGCAATTAGTACGGAAAATTTTCAGCTAAAAGGGTTATCAAATGTCTGGATATTTTTACTTACTAAGCAGCGACATATTTCTCTGACGGGTAGAGATACTTTTATACCATTTTCCCCATATCCATGACAGGCTATCAAAGCCCACAGGTTGCCCCCAATAACAAGAGATATTGAGATACTGGACCTAACACCCATGTTCGCAAGGTATTTGCTGTGAACAGGTGACATTGCGCGGAGATATGAATGGGAGAGGTCTAGTGGTTCTTTGAAATCCTCGTCATCTCGACATACCTTTATTGGTATGAAATATTAGCGTGCATTCGTTGACAAATCCTGAGAGGGAAATAAGTTAGCCACTGACCAGTCTGGATGTCTCGGCATCACGGTCGTAAAGAATTCTTATTCGATTCACTTTGTAAAGTTCTCTAGCTTGGGGAGGAATGTCGGATGCTGGATAGTTTAGTCCTAAGTTTTGTTAGATTGACCAAAACGAGACTGGGTTGGTTTAGCTACCGCGGAAAATGTCTGTAGAAGCCAGAGGGTTCACTAGTTCTGATTCCACACAACCATTATTCTGGTGATCAAAACGATATGACATAACACGATGGAATCCAGTTATCTCAGATACTAGTCCCACCACGACATCCTGCACTTCCTGAACGTCGTTACATTCTGTAATTTGATTTTGGGCTTCAGATAGGCAACTAAATATGTCAAGTGATGAAAATACTTTATTTTCTCTTTGTCGTGCGATTTGTAGTGGCATGAGGGGCTTACTAGCACGTGTCGTGGACTTTTTATAATCTTCAGCAGAGATTTCAGAGTCAGACGCACCAAATGGAACCTGTGGTAAGGCTCTAGCTGCATCGACATCTTTAAGGTAGAATCCATCAGAATATTCTTCAAATTCGCAGATTACAAGATCTTCAACATTTGGCGCCACATGCATTGAACACCACTAGAAGAAGGGTATAGGGATTAGTCTATGTTGTACATCTGATTTTTGAACTGTGGGAGTGTTAGGAGTGTTACTTACTAAGTGATAATCAGGCTCATATGGAAATGTCATGGTGATGTGAAAGTAATCGAGCTTCGTATTTGTTATATTCGTAATATGGGCATTCTTTAGGCAGTGGTCGACATGTACTTTCATTTCATCTCGAGCATCTTCTTTAAGCACATCCAAGAAAGTGCCTAGCGCAAAAAGTTGTTCTGGACCGTAGCCGATTACTTTTCTCGAGTTTTCGCTGGCCAGCCTCACCTCTAAGTCTCCAACGCCATTATATTTTAGCCCTTTGGGTGGATTAGCATCATCTAAGTGATTAATGTGCTGGGACAAGGTTGCTTGACCTGACCCAGTCTCACTTACCAATTAGAGCGCCTACACTTTGAATGGCGCCGGGAGTCCGAATTGGTTCGTTCTCGCACTTCAGGTAATTAGGTGAGGCGTACTCACCAACAGCACCTGTAAGGACCCTGGGCGGACTTGCGGGAGCTTGAGAGATAAATCGAGACCTCTCAGTCACCTTTCGGTTCTCACCTCTGTTTGCTGAAATAGGTATTTTAATCAGAAAGTTTTTTCCAAGCTATTTAGGAATGGTTACATACGACTAGAATAGGAAGGTTGAGAACTGATTCCCGACATGGCGCGTGAGCGCGTTTGCATTGAGCGTGTGTTGTTTGGAATTGGGATGACGCCGTCGAATCGAGCCACTACCCCGTTGGAAGGGTTGGTGAATGATTTTGCCGAATGGTTCTCATTCTTTGTTTCACACGTAAGTAAAAGCTATACACGAGTTGCATCTCATCTTACCCAGTCTTTGTTCAGGACATTGAGAACTTCATGATCGTCACGGGGGTTTCTCATACTGTAGAGATTGTTGTGATTAGGATTCCCGTGGTTGTTACCAACACCAAGACTGCGGTTGATAGGAGGATTTCCATTCCCATATCCATTTCCATTCCCGTAACCGTCCGAGTATCCATTGGAATAGCCGTTTCCTAGTGCATGAGTTGAGGTACTTTTAACACTTTGCTCGAATCTTTGACCATAATCATTCACTAGTCCGTTGCCGAGCCCATTGCTGTGATTGTTTGGTATTCCATTTCTGGATGTAGTGCTATTATAACCATTTCCAAGCAATCTACCTTCTCCGTTGGTCCTGTCCGAGGGGACAATGCCCATATCATGCCCTGTGTTGTGATTGATTTCGTTCCCAGTCGTGTTTCCATTTCGGTGGTTCCTCATATTGTAGGCAACATGATCAGTGTTTGGAGGGAGATCAGTACTTGAGGGACGATTCTCTTCGTTGGTGGTTTTCTGGCTTTTCTTGCCACCGAGAAGCTGCCGCATCGTGCTACGCATTGGAGGCCTTTACGACGGTGTTGTGAGAGATAGGGACCTAGTATTCATATGTTCAGCGGCTATTATTCTTAGAATACGACGTCGGTAGTTTTGATGCCGCATAAGCTCCTGCTCGTCTAACCGATAAAAATAAAGGTATGAATAGATATCCAGGCGGCTAGGATTTAAAATCCCCGTGATGAAGAGCTGCTGATCCTGCTGATCGATTACATCTTCGCAGCCTTCGCCCCTAGACCTGGACCAGCATCGGAAGACAGGTCGATCGGCAACAAGTTCAGGTTCAAGATGTGTGACGTTCGATCAGAGTAGCTGTGTTTGAATGCAAAGGAGAGAATTTGTCACATCGACCGACTGATATCCTCTTAATTGGATGTACCGAGGTTTCTGATGCTTCTAGCTCTCTACTAGCAGTGATACTGAAATAGCTTTCGAAAGATGTTTTACAAACCCAAACATGATCTCCAATATCTATTTGCATGGCCGCTTTGCGTAGGGGCATGTAGCCAGGATGAGATAAGTTCATTTCCATCCTCAGCCACCTCCCCGCCCATCTCCTGCAGCCGCATTTGAAGATCATAAGTGGCCCATAAAGTCTGAAGAATTAATTAGTCATAGATCTGAATTGGACTGCGACAAGCGAAGTTTTTTGCAGCCCACATCAATAAGGGTTTATATTTTTTTGATACAATGATGATGAGTCAGAAAATACCCATTATTTTGTTCCTCAGCTTTTCGGTATTGGTGAATGTACGCTGTCTAGCGGTGACGCAAGGACCAGTGGTTAATAGGCCAAGACGCCGTGGTCTAGAGTAGTAAACACTCTTGTATCGAGCGGCAGGAGATATGCAGTGTTAAAGTCTGGTCGGCGCTGTCTCCTCTATCCTTCAATTTACCAAGCCATTCACTAAAACATCAAATTTCTATGCACTCCTATTCCGTCATAATAGGAACAGCGTAGGTCAAATCTTTGCCCACTGTTTTCAAAAATTAGCGGTCTACATTGCAGAAGGAGTCATTTTTAGGATGGCTATATCGCGAGGCATAATTGACGAACAATGAACGGGATAGCCAGTGGCAATATGCAGTCTTTGTAGGAAAGATAAGCCTAGGCCAATAACCGATCTATCTTCAGGGCTGGAAAAATAGTAGCAGTTAACCTTCAATAGATTGCTCCTGAGCACAGTCCAATCGATTACGCTTTCGGGGTGAGATGGCATGTCACTGAAAGACAGCGACTAATAGGGAAAGAATACTTTGTTACCCCAACCTGTATGCACATCATGCTGGGTATTCAAAGCTGCATTACTCCCCACTTTTAATGCCGCCCCAACCTAGAACTACTGATTTATGAACAGAACGGTGTAAGGGCGCGGTACACCACATTGTCGGGTCTTCGGAAATTTGACACAAAGTCGACAGGATTACAAGTTTGATCAATTGTTCGGAATCGTCCCGTTGTCTGGCTGGAGAATTGAGGGGAATTAGATAGGCTAATTACAAGCCCCTGACGATAGCTGACAAAATGAGTGGGAATACTGTGTGTCCCGGGCCCTCGGAAAAAATTAAGGTCGAAGCTTGGTAAGTTATAAGACCCGAGATGAAGTATGAGTACAAATGGGAATAATTGATAGAAGGGAAACATTGGATCATGTAGTGATCTTCACCGTGAGATACAACACGTTCTATAGGATTCTCCGCAGCCTTTGGCAGCACAAACGCCAAGGTCCGGCTGCGAAAGAGTACTAGCGCTGGCTTCTAAAGCCAATGCGCAGCTAGCTACATCCGGATGCGAGACAATGCAGACTCGTGTAAATCGTCGTCGAATCCAAGTCTGAAAATCCCTTCATAGCGCCTTGAACTTGTTATCCTAGTCATTCTTGCCTGACGTTCGTGGCTAAAAAGGGGCCACCATGGCATTTGTATGATTATCCACAGATCTTCAGAATCCATCACCCCCGCATTCGCAAATCGCCTGGTCGAGGTGATAATACCCGTTGCGTCAGATACACGCAGCTCCCACGTCCCTAGAATAATCGGGTGTCAAGGCAAGGGGCATCTGCGTCCCAATACCTATCAAAGACGCTTTCGAGATGTGACTACAAGCGAGGTATGGGTCAACGGGAGTACAATAAGGATGAAGTAACTCTATTTCATGCACGCAAGTCTCCTGCCGCCAGTTGAACGACCTATCAAGGGGAACGCGCAGATTAAAGTGGCTTTTGATAGATCTTCTTCAGCGGCTCAGCATCCATCGCAGGGGGACGAAGAACCATTACTTGTCACCGGTGTTCTTCACAAACCACTAGCTTGACCGTGGAATCTATAGAGCAAAAACTGAGTCCCAAGAGGGCCCAGGAATTTGTATGTCCTACAGATTCATAGACTGAGACAGGACAACAAAATTATAATAATGATAATAGTAACGTCCCAGGAAATACAGCTTGAGCTACTTTGAAGGGCGTGCTGACTTTCGCGGCTTTGTAGTTCAGAAGATTTCCGGTTTATCGAAAATGGAGAGATAAATTGATAATAGTCTGGGTGTCATCCTTTTCGTCTAGATTCCCGACAATATGTCTTGCGTGGTATCGGGGCTTGAAACATGTCATCATATAGAGCTTCAGGCTACCTGGAAATACATAGGCAGCTGTAGGACTTACATTCAAGGGGGTTGTTGGTGCCCTTCTTTGCCTGCATGACGCCACAACCGGCTTTCTTGTGGCTTGGGCTTGTACTCGTAGCGCACGGCTTCCCCTGATTTCAACATAACATGAACACAACTAGCTTCTTCTATCTCTCCGCGCACATGGCGCTCATTTCATCGCTCAATAATTTCACTAGAGTTTGGCTCGATGCGTCAATGATGGAAGGAGTTGAAAGGAGGATAGAAATGCACATTGTCACTCCCTCATGTACATACAAGTCTGCTGCAGCCATTCCAAACGCTCCCAAATGTAGCTATATCTTTGGATTTTGCCTTGATGTTGGTACAAGGAGAACCCCGCATGCAGTTGATTTTGAGATTTATTTTGGCTTCTACATTTCCTCAAATAGTCATGGTCTAATAGATTGGATGTCAGAGATGATGAAGGGGAAAAAGTTTCCAAGTATCCGAGCGAAAAAAGATTTATTATAAGTGATCCTGTCGATCTTTTTGGCAAGTATTGTCCTTACTTAGCCTCAGGTATATACATTCTTCATGCCAATCGGTTACGGTTGACTACGCTAGAAGTATGTCGCCTACTGTTCCTCCTGAACAGCTACTCTCTCACAGTGCCAGCCCTCACGAGTCCTCGTTTGATCACACATCATGAGGAGACTTTTGCCGTTTAATATCTCTCCTCTCCGATTTACCAAAAGATGGTTATTCGACAATGAGTAGCTGCAGAGAAAACTCTCAAAAAACCATCTGGTTCGGTTCTATCCTAATCCGGAGATCATCACCAGGAGGCAGACCACCGCGCCATCCAACCATGGCGGTCTTTAAAGTGTCGCCCGCACTCTCGAAACCGAAGCCTCGTCACGCACAAAGCTCAATTCATGAAACTCCTTGCGATAATTCAAAATTCCACGCTATTTGAAATTGTATTCATCCTCTGTATCATCTTGAGAACTTGTCCTGATCCCTCTCACATCCACTCCAATGAGCTACCTCCCAGATCTGTGCGCCACGCTTTGCTTTCTCCTGAGGATATAGATATCGTCGAGGGCGTGTACTTTGTGACCGGCTTAGGCCAGAGAAAGTTGACGAGAGGTGTGGTCATTGGAATGAGGATGTACTAGGTCGTAACTGTAGACTTTATGAGACTTAGGTGGGAGTCGATCACGTTGGGAATGAAAAATTGATATGGTTGAGTGTTTTGAATCATTGCCTTGTGGGCCAACTTCTTGAGTATTGCGAAATTTGACTCAACTTAGCTCTGGGAGAATATTTCACTCCCAGGTTTGTAGTGGACACTGCGTACAGGTGTTCAGTCTTGCCCTCCGGTGAACCACACTTGGAGCATAGCAAAAGGAAAGACTTTCTAACAAAGGCAAAAATTTACTTTACCTATAGGCAGGAAGGACCTTTTTCTTTTCCATTGTATTGTATTCAGCTACATAGCAATGACAATTCAGGGAGGACTAATAAGTGGTACACAATCATAGACTTGGTTAAGGCAATCTTTAAAGAATACAATCACATACTCTGGATCTCACTTGCAAACAAGCATCATCATTTACTGACATATCTTCTTACTCAATTTCGTTCTTTCATGGCAATTGACTCAGTAGGGACTTAAATTTAATTCTAATTAATCAATTTCGTGACTTTTGATCGTTACAGGACGATATTATGCCCCACAGGAGCCGCAAAAACCCCGAGATTCTTGTATCCCCCGCTCGAGCTGCCCGCGCGATGCGAAAAGTGCGAGGTTTCGTCGACCTCTTACAACTATCCAGAAGGAATTCATCTTAGCGGCCGAAGCTGAGAAACAATTACCTCCACCCAAACCCATCGACATGGACTCACAAGACGAGTTTTTGGACACATGGCTTGAAAACGAACATCTTCTCTACCTCATCCCCGAAAATTTATCGCCAACTCTCAATCCAGTCCCTACACTGACAACGGCCGTTCAAAGGCCCTCCCCGCAAAAAATTCTGATATGACATTCTGTCGGTATACTACTATATGAATTTGCAAAATACAGTTACTTTTCTTAAGTAACTGTAAATCTATTTCAATTGATAAGTGCCTAGTTGATTGTACGGGACCGGATGACGTCACATTAGCTCCGCACTTGGACTTAAATATCCTGTTTGTAATATTGAAGTTTCTCCCCTCAGAGAGAGATGTGTTTGTTTTTCTACATGAGTCAGAATTCTAACGCATTGGACTCCTTTCTGACCCAGGCCACACCTTGTACAGTGCTCCTTGCCTCTTTTGTTACTTGTAAGATCATTGATATATTGTCCGTGATGAATAGCCATTCAGCTCAGTGTTTACCCGTGGAATTCGG